CATCCAATCCTTCCAGCAGGTTCCAGCACATGCCAAGGTATACCAGCTACTTCCATGTCATAAAGGCTTAGTCATGTCTCTTGACCAAGCAATGAGCTGGTGCCCTGACAGTTTGATGTCTTCCACTTCTCAGTGCAGTTGCACTTGCTCAAGTTGTTGGGCTCATCCATGGGCTGTGATTTGACAGAGTTTTGCTTGCCATGATGACCTTGTGCCTTCTCATACTGGTCCACAAAGCTGGTGGACAAGATGTAGTTGCTCTTGAACTGGCAGAGATCTTGGTGCCCTGCATGACCAAACCACTTGCTCAAGTTGTTGCTGTCCAACAAGACAAGCTTCAAATGTCCCAGATCAGGCTCTCCTTCAAGCTGGTGTGCTTGAATCAGCTTGATAATTAGATACTTGAGGAAGTACTTACCTGATAATCACATGCTGGGCATGCATTATGCAAGCACCAGTCAGGCGTATCATGACCTAGTGCTTGCTGGACATTCTTCTCAAGCTCAAGAATGATGAGTGCATAGGCATCATAAGCTTGGGACAGCTGTTGGCGAAGATGGGGCTTGTATGGCTGCTAATACAATGGCATCAGCTTGTGTCAAGATGATGAGACATGACGTACCCCATGCAAGTCAGGGTCGGCTTGGGGTTGACGCCATGTATCCATGCTCAAGCAGATGCCCAAGAATGGACTCACCATCTTGTTGACATGCAAACATAGCAGGCTTCATTCCTATGTGGACATTAGCATGTGCAAGATCATGCCAGAAAGGCTGCGCAGGCATACCTTCCCAAGTGAGAACATGAATGACCACCTCATCTCCTTGGTCTACCTCTCCTTGCCTGCCTCCCACTTGACCTCCATGCTGCCATCATAAGTATGCTGGCACCAGATCAGGAACATGTGCATTCCATGCTTCTGCTGATGCCCCAAGATGTCAAGCATGGCCTCCATGCCTAACGTGATGACACATGCGAGGTTGATGTTGGCGCATCCTGATGTTCTTGTCAACAAGTGGAAAACAAGTACAAACAGATATGCACTGACAAAGATTCCACACTGTTTCGATGACTGTCATGTCTTCTTCCTGTTCACACATGTCTATCCCACCCCCCTGGTCCAACATGTTGTCCATGAACACATCGAAATCACCTTGTCCACCCTTTGCTTGCTGGCAAGACCTGAGAAGTTGGGTGAGGAAATGATTTGCATGTGCTTCCTCAGGCATAGCTGCATGTACATGAGCAAGTGTAATGATTTGGAAGATACAATAAGACATACTAGACATCCACCATATTCTTGCCTCATGTTCCTCTTGCTCATGTTGATCCATCGCCTTGAGTGTGAGCATGTGCAAGGGCTGAGAGCTTGAGCAGGGGTCAAGTGGAGGGGCTTTTGCAGCATCTGATGAGGTGCTTGTAAGTCTATGGGCAACAAGCTCATTGCACAGGGCCATGAGGTTCACCATGTGAGCCAGAGGCTTGCCCTCATTGATGGATGCCTTGTAGATGCCCATCCTTGCACTTCAAGAGCTTGAGCTTGGCATGAATTTGGACTGTAGATGACCAGCTTGAGAGGCTCTTGAAGATGAAGGAGCCATGAAGAGAACTTGTGTAAGTACAGATGTGGTATTTCGAAGTAGAGTACAAGGACTAGGAATTGGACAAGATCAGGAGATGATGGAGTAGATTATTAATGATGCTTGTTCATGTTATTGATGATATGTGACACAACTGATCAGGGTCCGTGAGCATGACAGAACCCCTGCTGAGCTGGATTTTCGCTGGATGAGAGAAACCCTTGTTTCAATCAGAAGTTTGTGGCAAGGGAGCGCATCACCTCCACCACACCCTCATGACAAAAACTTGCCTTACATGGCCAAGACGGTGGTGGAGAATGGGCGCCCAACTACCCCTAAGTACCACGGGTGCCCCGCGTGGTCTCTTACTAGCGGCGGCCCGACGAACCTGATAAGCTTTGCGGCTAGATTTCATTCAATTCGCGATTCAGCTTCTGAAAGCAGCCAACCCCGCTGTCCGCACTAGGCACTACACGTGTAAGCAGCGTGTTGCTTTACAACGCTGCTGTTCTAAAAGACGCTTCTTTACCCCGGAGTTTGCCTACGGTGATTGACAGGTCAGAGCCCTTGATAAAAAGCCAGCGCAACCCAGCTCTCTTGTTGAAACGGGCTTTCCTCTTGCACCTCCTCTCGACCTCTCTGCAGATTCCCTTTCCGCCGTCTTGTGTCTCGAAATTCTGCTGTGCTCCAAATATGGTATACGATGCGTGCCACATGCCATCCCTTCCCATTCCCGATAACCTCCAGATGCGGAGCGTCTTGATATGGAACATTCTCAAGTCGTCTCGACGATTGCTAACTGTCGGTCTTCACAGCATAGTTGGTCAGCTAACCAAGCAAGTCCTAGCGAGCTTCCACAGCAACGCGATAGACGGACCGCCATTCTTCCCGGGCGGCAAATAGGGGTGCTCTTTTCCCGGGACGGAGCTCTCTGCGTCGGGTGGCCTCTCGGAGCTGAGACTGAATGTTTCGGAGCCCCTATCTGTCATATGTCGCATTCATATCACTTCCGCTCGGCGAATTCCACAACGTACATGGTTTTATCTTCTATGACGACGAGGGATTTGTATACATCAGGGTGAATGATCCGTCCGCGTATAGCTTGGAAGAACCGATAGCTTGGAACAAACAGACACAACTTCACCCACGAGGTGGGTTCAAGATGGTGCAATGGAGCGCTTCGCCTCGGAGATTTGCACCGCCTACTGAGGAATGACTCGACATCATACATCCAAAAACAGCGGGGTCTGATCTCGGGCTGATTCGGTTTCCGACTGGACCATTGTGATGTGCTGGGGGTCTGTTTTTCTATCGTTACCGGATGGATTGATCCGCAAATTTCTCCCGGAGTTTCGTGGCCTTCATTGCTGTGGACATTGCGCCTCATGTTACAGCATGCTCGCGTTCCGGGCTGATCAATAATTATCGGGTGAGAGTATTGGTATATTGCGACCCTCTCAATTAACGGATATCGCACGTTCGACTTTGCCCAATGCCGTTCACGGGCTGCCTCGGTTGGCCGTTCTGCAAACTTCCAGAATAGGTATAGTGAGCATTAGAGAGCGGAGAACGGAACACGAGGCACACTCCACCCGATCGCATTCAGGGTCATGTCTTCTTTTCAGATGTTTTCTTTGACTATTCTAGGTACTGTACAGACCCTCGTTATTGTCCTAGCAATTGGTCTGCGCAGCCCCTGTTGGGGGTTCCGAAGGTGCCAGCTCGCAACTTCGACCTGTCTCTACCCCTCCCCCCTTCCCGCGGAACGCTCCAACAAGGCTTTGCTTTGGTTGGGATCAACAGCGCATTGGACCAGTCAATGCTATCATTACAATGTTAAACTTCGATCATACTATACAATAGCGGAGGGTATCAGTATCGTTAAACAAGAAAAATGTACAGGTTACAAATGTTGGTGCCATCTCCAGAAAGAAACCCGCTGGAAACATCGAGAAGTAAAAGAAGACCCAGTAAGAAAGAAACCGCATCTTGACCACGTCGAGAGGAATATCCAGCATTGACGTGTCAAGAGTGTACCAGATGAAAGAAAATGGGGTGCATACGGTCACGGCTCCGTGACACTTAAGGATAAGAGAAATGCAAGATAGAAACAAAATTGAAAAATGCAAGAGTAGAACCCAGTCAAATACTCGTGTACGTATTGACCGGCGATGTTGAAAAAGGATATCGTCGTACATCGCCATTCAGCGCAAATCTTCAAGCCGACACGAACGAGTCGCCGATGTCGTTCCAAATTCCTTCCATTATAGGAAATTGGTCAGGCAACTGGTTGTTGCCATACATTGGATCCAAGTAGGGGTTCACGAACGGGTTGAATCCCAGCATGTCCTGCGTCATGTATGGTGGTGGTGGTGGTGGATAGGGCTGATACATTGAGGTGTTGTCGGATAGAAGCAAGTCGGCCGTCAACATACCCATAACTGTCTTCCCCATCGTGGGAACATGGTGGAACATGTCTGGAGCCGCGACTTGCTCGATCGAATCCGACGGGGACAGCATGACTTCCACCGGTGGAGACGACATCTGGTTGGACAGTACGCTGTCCTGCGATGCATCAATCGCATCGCCGAGGGGTAAGGTTGGCGTCTTGTCCCGAACAGGGGTCCCATCCGTGGAGGGACGGAGACGGCGAGACTTCTTAGCCTCAGTCATAGCGCCCAAGACATTGCGCTCCAGCGTATCTAGCCAGTCGTGCAGTGGTTTAACACGATCGTGGTGTTGATCCAAAGGTTCGACGTCGGTCTGCCAACAAGTGAGAAATAGTGCCACGAGGAAGCAGATCTACTCACGAGGGCCGCCTTGACTTCGCGGATGTTGTCGACGGCGCCCATCATGATGTGCCAAAGTGTCTCGGGGATGGTCAGGCACCAGTCGTATGTCTCCCTGTGAGGAACTTCCACGTGTTGCTTGCCACGATATAAGCGGAGAATAGTTTCCAGGTCATGAATCCGCTTCTGTTGGCGTGCTAGCTCATCTTGAGGATCGCTGGTCACCAGTCAGCAAACAAGCGAGCGATGTACCTGATACAATACTCACGGGCAAGGTCTAGTAACATCATGTTCATAAACACAGCCCGCCGCCTGAGTATGTCAGAATCCAAGTGGGCCATCAACAGCAGTGTGCATACATTATTATGAGCCTTGCAGCGGTCGCAGGCGGGGTAACCTCGATCGCACTTGCGCTTATTCTTGTGACAATGCCAGCATGACAGCGTAACACTATCAAGTCGTTGTTAGTATACTTGAGCGAGGGTACATAAAAAAAATGCATACCGATTACGCTTGTTCTTGCGATGATCAGGTTTAAAATCTGTTTCCGATGTTGACGGGCCCCCTTCGTTCGCCTGCTCATCGAGCGGCAGCGAACTCGAGAATGGGGTCAAGAGGCCGACAATGGGAGATCCCTCCCTCTTCTCGTATGGTTTTGCCCGTCGAGGAGCAAAGCTGACCTTAGCTCCTTTGGGCATGGAGAACAAGTAATATCAGGGGAGGAAGGACTGATGAAGCGTCGACGTCGCTTGAGAGTCCAGTTTGTGGAGAGAAGCAAGAGGTTAAATAGGGGGATGAAGAGGTGTAGGACAAAGAACAATAGCGAACTTGACTGACAGGCAAGGGGAATGGACGGGGTGACGGCAATAAGATGAAAGCTGTGAGGGGAGAGGGTTTGTGCGGGAGCAAGGATGAACTGGGAGCGGGGGTGAAAGGGGAAGGAGGAGATGCCGTATTTAACAATATCTGAGGACCAACCCAGGGTGGGAAGACAGATACACATCAGTAGGCGCACGATACACGTGTAGCTGGGCCCAGGGTTGCCGGGTGCACATGCAATACGTAGCCCAACACGGCGGGTACATTCGCAGTGGAGCACCAGCCAGAAGAGCAGCCCCAGGAGCAAGGGAGGTGTTAGGTATGCGCGATGCTCCAGGCAGCAGGGCCAAGGCGGGCGTCAAGACCCGAAGCGGATAGAGACTGATCGATTACGCCGCCCTAGTCATTCATCAAATCCCTATCGGCCGCAGGGATGGAGGGGCCCAAAGTCGCTGGCGAAATGACGCTGGCAGGGATGGGGTACAGCACAGGCCGGAGTGGGCAAGAGGAAGCGCGCCATGACGGGTCCCATGTGTTAGCATTACCTCGGTCCGCACCTTCGAAAATGCATTCCTTCGGCGCCCTCGGGCCAGATAGCGTTTAGCACACGAATTGATATTCACGTTCCATAAGGGGGTGAGTGTGCGAAGAGAGAATCCGATGCGTTTAGGCCCACGCCACCAGATGAGAGGGAGGAAGAGAAGGTCGAGGAGACAGGGGGAACGACTGCCCCTCCTCCCCATGTGGACGCCTGGTTGGAAGGGTACTCCCCCTCCGGTTGATTTTCCCCATCTGAGGTAGGGCGGTCACGTCAGCTGGCGGGATGATGTGAGCGCTCGAGGAGCGCTTCCTTTCAAACGCGAGGTACGGAACGTATGGAAGCAAAAGAAGCGCGGCATGACCGGAGTCCGTGAATTTATGATTTACTTCCGTTAAACGCTATTTGTCCAGGGGAGGATACACTCCGGCACCGGGTTCACCCCAGGCCTTTGCTTCTCGTCGACCAACCCTGTTCTGGTCTAGCGTTGTTGAGAGGGCGCTGCAATTATTATGTACGACATATATGGCAACATCCAACCTTTTCCTGAATATTCTAGCTAGCTTATCACACCAATTCTGTCCTGCCGACTTGTGTTACTGCCCCGGGTAGCTTGTGACCTCGTTGCCCGATCCTCGTCACCACATCATCTCTGGTCCTAGAGACTACGGAACACGTTTCACGGTCAGCTGAGCCGGAGCCTCCATCAACGCCGTAGCCCCGAATAGCAACTCACCCTGCAGACTGTATCCGATTCGAGCATTCTCGTTTCTCCTCGACCACCCCCTTGCGAGAGAGGCTGCGCCGGGTTCCATTCATGACCCAGTTTCTGCTCCTCTGCAAGATGTTCTTCGACAGCAGTTTGCACCAGGCCCTGATAATAGATTACTCCATTCTGAATCATGGGTTATCAGTGGGGCTTTTACGCTGCGGGGGTCCGCGCTCAACTTCTTTCGTGGGGTGCAACGAGCCTCTCCTATAGATTCCCGTGTTCAGGGACTTCTGCGTTGCCGATACCAGGTGGAAGTCCTCGTCTTCCACCTACACGGGCCATTCAGTTGGGAGGCGTAAATTTGATATTCCCGACTTTTCGGCACACCTTCTCGTAAAATTGCATGTACGCACGAAGCCTCTCCAGCGTTATCGATTTGTGTTTAAACACGTCATACTCCATCCGTGTCTGAGTCGCCGATATAGGCTAGCGTTTCTCCGTCAGCTTTCCGGAGCTTGAGTGGACTGGTCTGCCCAGGTGACTCGCTCACCACAACACGCATCATGTACCACATCATATTGGTCACTGTGACTGCATTGGACGGGAATACGTATGCGAAGCTCGGAGCTCCCTCGCTCTCCGCCCCACTAGCCAATGTCGACTGCGCCTCTTCTCGTCCAGGCTTTAGCGCCGTGATGTGAAGGGCGTATTTGGTCTTGGTCTCCACGGCGTACGTGCTGAGGTCAAGCGAAGCTGCGTATCCAGGATGGGATGTGTGACAGTGCACGCACTCCTATTCGTCCGATTAGCTCTGGATCCTTAAGGCCAGTTTCCTTCAACCTGATACCCGTCCTTGACACGAATAAGCGGCTTCCTTTGGTACGTCAGAGCTTTAGCGTGCGTACCATCCACGTTTTCCAATTATAGGCACCGTTGATTCTAATTGGTCTCAGGTTATGTTATGATCTGTGCCACCCTTAAAACCACTTACGTCCTTCGCAACATCAGCCCACCAAATACGAGCAAGAAGACACAACGTACCAGCTGTACGCATATTCATAATCATCAGATCTCAGGTTACCCCATTCCTGCTCCAGATCTCCGAACCAATCTCGGAAAGGAGGGGGTTCCTGCGCTGATAAATTCACAAAGATGAAGCCTGAACTTATCACATGTGTGTGTATCTTGAACAGGGAGTACTTCGACGCATCGAATGATGGAAACGATGAATGTGTTGATCGCACAAGCCGGCCATCTTGGGGTGAGTAGCACCAACCATGGTAGCCGCAACTGATAACTGGTGAACAGCCCGACATTTTCGACACGAGTGGAAAACCACGATGTCGGCAGACATTCTGTTGCGAAGCATACGTAAAGATCTCCGGCATCAATCGCGTGACGTACATGGTATGCTGCCTGTGGTTCAAGTCAACATCCTTCGTCCATGTTACGGAATATCATCTCACGTGTCGCCCATCTCTCGTCCGAATCACAAAGAAACTTGCTTTTGTAAGCCTCATATCCGATCAGATCGATGGACACTCACGGGAAGTTTGCGATCTCGAATGCAACATAATCGCCTTCCTTGGAAAACCGACTGACATGGGTTACCAATATCCAACTCTTCGAGAATATTGCTTTGCGTTCTAGATGGTGTATCCTGGACGACTGCGTGAGCTATAATGGGACAAACGTGCCAAGCCGCTTGACCTGTCATCCCGATACCACTGGGATGGCAACGTCTCAGCTGGAGTCAGGGACCGATGGACCAGTTGGCTGAAACCTCGCCCGACGTTCTCGTGAAAAGCTGGGGTTGCTGTAGCAGGATTGTCGACTGGTCGCAGCGGCGTCAGTCTCTGACCGCCGTTCTCCACATCCTCGGGCGATTCGGACTCCATATAGATGTCCATAGCTCGAAACCAAGGAGCTCGAACGAACGCGGGAACAACGAGAGGATGGAGACCGATAGGGTTAAACGTGCCAATCTCTACGCAGGTGCTGCCGCCAGCAAGGGGTCATCATATTTGCAAGCCAGCTCTTAGGTGGAGCAGTATCCTAAAGAAAGCACGCAATTCTCCGCAGCAAGTCTACAACGGGAAGTGGCTAGGGGCACTTCTTTCCTCGGTGTTTCTTGCACCGGCACAACAGCCGGGCCCTTGAAGATCACCTATCTCGTCGTCAGTCATCATTACGTCAAGGAAGTTGTAAGAGGTTGATCGTCACGTATGTCCAGCTGCTAGTTTCGTTCGCAACTAACCATTGTTCTGTAGAAATGAACAATCTACGTCAATGACGCTTTTTAGGAACGAAACCTACTTCTGGAAGATTAAGCGCAAGAACTCCAACAATCAGCTTCCCCTGGACCAAACCCCTTCTGGTACCTCGTCGCTTGAAAGTCGGACAATTTGACTTTGGTTTTGTAGACGACTGCCCTGTTGTCTGCTTCGTTCTCCTGATCATTGCTCGAAAATGGCAATCCTACTAGCGCCTCGACGACCAGCATGCGGTTGTCCATTTCTTGCGAGACATGTCTCTCCTCAGATGCAAACTATTCCACCTGACTCATGCTTCGCACTGCAACCCAAGACCCGAGACCAACCCTGCAAGACACGCGGACAAAAAACACCATTTGAAGGGCAATATTACAGATATTCACATCCGCTGTCGGACATCGGTCAGACCCCGCCGGTCGGCCGGAACTAGGAGAGACCCTTGCGAATAGGACACGGGGCATGTGCTTTTCAAGTGTACGTTATTGTTGACATCCGAATTTGACATTGATTCCACAGTCGGATGATACGAAAGGCGGTGACATTGGTCAGCAAAGAAGGACTCGTCATCGCCTCGGATTTTTCCTCTGCGCATGGACCTCCATCCTGGGCGGCGTAGCCGATCATCAAAGAAGCCTGTGTCTGTAACGACGCAGCGGTATGATTGATATTATTTCCCCGACTGGGAGTGCACATACCTTTTGAAGACGAGATCCGTTATCTATATTTTTGGCCTCCTACCATCTGCGACTAATGCAATCGGGAGCGCAGGAGTGGTGCCACCAACGCATCACGGATCAATCATGCCTGCTCGCACGGGTTCCCCCCAATAGGTGCTTCAGCTTCCGAGAGCGACATAGCCATCTCCTGCTTGATCCTAATCATAAACTCACGATGGCTTTATTCTCTGAACGCATTGTACAAGAATCGCAAAGCACCAAGAAGCACGTCGAGGCAATGATGCAAGAAGCATTGACCGCTTCTGCGATTACGAAACTCCCGGATTTGACCACATGTGGAAAGTATTCCAGCACGTATTTTGAAAACATCACGCTCATGGGCGGTTATGATCTCCTGGGCATATTCTCAAGTCGGAGTCGATAACACTTCCCGCTACGTGGGACGTGTGTCGTTGCCTCATGTCAACGAAATAATGGGCGTAGAAGCGTTCATCGATATGCCTTTTGTCTGGAGAAAACGTGCCTCCGATCATTAATTTCCAGCCAGACAGCCGTGTAGAGGGAGCTGACCGGATATGAACATCATACAGTGTGGACAAAAGACAAGTCGCCGAACGAAAACAATGCTGCAGCAGTGCCGCATTGTCCATTATGGTCAACAGAGCGAAGATCCTCAATTCGAGCTCCGCATCATATTCATAAGCAACTCTAACCCCTCTCTCGGGCCTTTCCGGTCGTGCGGCTCCATCGTGCACGCGCGGTACAAGGAAGTCTCGTAATGACAGTGTCACGCGGCCATACCCATGCAGCCGCCGGCTTCCTTGGCCGCTGTCCGGAGCCCGGCACGACGAAACACGTTGAACGACGGTGGCCACATAGGACCTCAAACGTGGTTGACGCATGGCATCCGGTTGTTGTTCTGCTCCCTGCGGGGTCAGATAAGCATTTCTTTGATTTCCCGGCCGCGCAAGATTCCACATCTGGCAAGGCTGGGATCACCATGACTTGACACAGTCTGATTGTTGATAAAGTACACGCGAATGATTATTTCGTCATGTACGCACGTTGTCAAGAGCTGCAAGGTGAGAAGTGATAACTACAACTACACCACAATACACCCGGACAGCCGTTATCCAAACATGCGATAGACACAAGCTGCAGTACCAACGCGAGATGAAACGTCACCTACTCAGCACGGAATTTCTTCCATTTCCCATCTTCCGTATTTCCACATGCCAATTCTCGACAGTAGTTCTTCACGACCGTACTGGCGTTAGTGCTTCCTGCGGCCTCGTAACGGAGCACGTAGTCTGTCGAAGGGATGCTGTAGCCGCAATATACAAGTACAGGCATCCTATACTGCCTGCCGCGGAGGTACCGCAGGATCTGCTCCCCAGCAGAGAGGTTGAGATACTGCAAGTTGCCCGTGCTGTTGCGTTGCTCTGCCCAGCCCGCGGGCACCGGGAGGGGGACGGAGGACTCGTAGCGTGCGTTGTCGGAGATGACGCGGATTCGCGCTGGGGTGTCGTTCATTCTGATGTACTCTGTGTCCAGTAGTCAATAGTCAATTGTGAATCATATAGAGCCTTACGCATCCGAGGCTGAGGGGCGCGTACCTTCATTGGCCTCGAACCACGCCTTCGCCAGCGCAGTAGAAGTGAGCTCCACAACGGTGATGCCGAGCGATCGTGCGAAACGCACTTCAAGTGTGTTGTTTTGCGGGTTGTCGTCGACCCATACGATGAGAGGCATATCGGGGTATTCTGAGTAAGGCGGTAACGGACTGCCGATCGCCCGTCGAGGGCTCCTGTCGCTGGGTGCTGGGAGCGGTTTCTTAATGTCTAGCGACATCTTCTCCTCGTCTATGTCCGAAATTAGACACAGATCCAATTAAGATGAGGAGATACCGACTCAGACGCTTGAATCCGTCGATGACTTCCCTCAAGCTCTGATCTCCCGCTAGCCCCTCCAAACTGCTGGGAGTGATTCCCCCGACCGCGTACTCGTCCAATCTGAGCAGAAGGTGCTGACAGGTGCTCTCCGGCAGGCCAGAGGCGTACCATGTCTTTAGAGAGACGATGAATGCGGATGCGGGGACGCAGACAACCTGAAATTTCGCGAATGTTAGCATCATGAGGTACAGATGTGCGAGATAGATATACGAGGCGAACACACCTTGGCGCCCACGTAATTCCTCCAGAATTCCCTTATCTCCTGGTTCCCCACGCCAGAGAGTACAACGTCTTCCTCCATCGCTCTCACCCCAGCCTCGCCTCTCCCCGATGTGTCCTTCTTGTCAAAGAAACTCTGGGCCGTTATCGCAAACAGCACGAGAACGAGCTGATTCGTCAATTGTCGCTCGTCTTTCTGCAGTGTCTTGACCACGTCGGCAGGTCGGAGAAAATTGACGACCTTCTTGATCATGACTTTCCCTCCTCCCTGACCAAGAGCTGCCGCCCCCTTTCGTTTTCCAGCTTCCAACCCACCCTCAAGCTGCACTAGATGCTCTCTCGTCTTGGCGAGTGCCTCTGCCAACCCTCGGAACGCCTCCACTACACTTCCTTCCCATTTATGATGGACCCCTTGGTTCTGGAGCTGCAGGACAATAGTGCTGATTCGCTGGATGGTGGGTCGGAGAGTGGTGACGGACTCCGAGAGTTCGGCATGAGAGGCAATGAAGTTGAGGATGATTGTGGAGATAGAGTAGAGTGATCCTAGGATCGAGATGGGGTCCATGGCCAGACTCCAATCGTCGTGATATTGTACAGGACAGCGCTGGGGATATATAGATAGATGGTGGCATAAAAGAGTCGAGCGGAGATATCATACCATGGGATATGAATTAATGCATTCTAGTAGTGTGCACTGGACGACACGGGTTGGCGTGATGGGCGATGCGTTGCACCCCAACCGGAATTGCTTGGCAACTTCTCATCGCATCAACATGCGGTACCCATCTCGTTTACGCATGTATAAATCCATCATACTAAAAGATACATATCGCAACATCGCCGACAAGGGGTATGAAAACTAAGCGTAAGTAGTGGAGGAGCTCGCTATAAATGCAGTGTGGTTTGCAAGTGGACGGGAAATAGGGGATCCAGAAACCAAAGTACATTTTTACACAGCTCGAGTGTTTCTAGGTTAGAAAGGCATGACAAGGGAGAGGCAAAGTACTCAGCCAGAGCACATCAGGCATGCCTCCTTGTTTTCGAGGCTGCACTGGAGCTTGGCCTCCTCGTATTCGCGCTGCTTTATCCTCTCCAATGCAGCGGCGTATTCGGGGTCAATCTCCTTCTCCGTCTTGCCCTTGCCCTTGCCGTTCTCTTCTGCTGGAGCAGCTACAAGTGGCTGCTCAATGCGGGAAGGAGATGCGCCTGGGGTAGGAAGCGGGGCAGAAGAGGACTCAGCCTTGACGACCGTCGCGTCTAGGGAGAGGTCCTCGACCTTGACAGCCACAGGAACAGGCCTCACACTGTCAGGGGAAGCGATCGGAGAGCTAGTGGCAGTTGCGCTCGTCGGGGTGGAGCTACGTGCTGAAGCGAGGACATCGTTCACGGCTATGCTCGCGTACTTGTTCGTGCTCTGCCTGGGCTTCATCGCACGCACCGCTTGAGCAGGAGCAGAGACACCGTTCTGTGCATCCTTCGCCTGCTTGATGACCGAGGCGTCCAGGGTGAACTGGATGGCCTGAGCAGCAGGGCGCGTACGAAGGTAGTACATGCCCGTCTTGAGCCCCTTCTTCCAGCCGTAGAAATGCATGGACGTGAGCTGGCCGAGAGTAGGGCTCTGGAGATGGACGTTCAAGCTCTGACTCTGGCAGATGAACGCACCCCGGTCCGCGGCGAGGTCGAGGATCTTCTTCTGTGAGATCTCCCAGACGGTCTTGTAGATCGCTTTGATGTTGTCCGGGATTCCGGGGATGTTCTGGATCGACCCGCCGGAAGCGATGATCATATCCCGCATCTGGTCGTTCCATAGGCCGAGATCGACAAGATCGCGAAGAAGCCACGGGCAGACAACCTGGAACTCGCCGGCGAGTACACGACGCGCGTAGATCATAGATGTATACGGCTCGAAGCACTCGTTGTTCCCCAGGATCTGGGAAGTGGAGGCGGTAGGCATAGGGGCAAGGAGGAGGGAGTTGCGCAGACCCGTGCGGCTGATCTTCTCCTTCAGCCCGGCCCAGTCCCAGCGGTCGGAAGGCATCACGCCCCATAGGTCAAACTGGAGCTCTCCACGGGAAGCAGGGGAGCCTTCGAACGTCTCGTACGCGCCGTCCGTCTCGGCCATCTCGTTCGACGCCTCGAGCGCAGCGTGGTAGATAGTCTCGAAGATATCGCGGTTAAGCTGACGAGCTTCGGGCGAGTCGAACGGCATGCGAAGAGCCATAAACGCGTCGGCGAGACCCTGCACACCAACGCCGATAGGACGGTGACGCATATTAGACCGACGAGCCTCAGGCACGGGATAGTAGTTGACATCGATGATTCGGTTCAGGTTGAACGCGACCACCTTGGCGACCGCGTGCAGCTTCTCGAAGTCGTACTGACCGTCCTGGATGAAGGAAGGCAAGGCAATGGAGGCGAGATTGCAGACGGCGACCTCGTCAGGGGCGGAATACTCCATGATTTCTGTGCAGAGGTTGGAAGACTTGATCGTGCCCAGGTTCTTCTGGTTAGACTTGGCTGCAGTTCGTCAGTCTACTTACTCACATACTTCTGGAATCAAATAACTGACAGTTAGCAGCATCCTTGTACAACATGAACGGGCCCCCAGTCTCAATCTGTGCGTCGAGAATGGCATACCACAGCTTCTGGGCCTTGATGGTCTGCCTCGCGCGACCCTCGCGTTCGTAACGAGTATACAAAGCCTCGAAATCTTCGCTGTGCACCTCAGACATGCCAGGCGCTTCATTAGGGCAGAAGAGAGACCAGTCACCGTCGGACTCGACGCGCTTCATGAACAGATCTGAAATCCAGAGGGCGTAGAAAAGGTCACGTGCGCGCACTTCCTCCTTGCCGTGGTTCTTGCGCAGGTCGAGGAACTCGAAGACGTCGGCGTGCCAGGGCTCGATGTAGATAGCAAAGGCACCGGGGCGCTTGTTACCGCCTTGGTCGACGTAGCGAGCAGTAGCATCGTAAGCACGGAGCATGGGGACGATACCGTTCGAGTAGCCATTGGTGCCCGCGATGTAGGAGCTGAGACATGGTCAGAGCAGCGGATGACTCATCGCCAGATTACTCACCCCTTGGCGCGGATATTGTGGATGTGCATTCCAATACCACCAGCGGTCTTGGAAATCATTGCGCATGTCTTGAGGGTATCATAGATGCCCTCGATACTGTCGTCCTTCATGGCAACCAGGAAACAGGAAGAGAGCTGAGGATGGGGCGTGCCGGCATTGAAGAGCGTCGGGCTAGCGTGTGTGAAGTACCGCTCGGACATCAGGGTGTAGGTTGCTAATGCGCGGTCAATATCTCGGCCGTGTATACCAATGGCTACACGCATCAGCATCTGCTGGGGTCGCTCGGCAACTTTGCCGTTGATCCGCAAGAGGTAGGAACGCTCGAGAGTCTTGAAACCAAAGCTGCACCACAGACATCAGTTATACACTATTCGTCTCACATAAGCGAGATAAGACACGCACAATTGGTGATGGAAGTCCCTCTCATAGATGATCGCCGAATCGAGCACCTCCTTGTTCTCCTGGACGATATCATAGATGTCCTTGGCGATCATAGGCGAATGACGTCCATTCTTCGGGTTCACGTATGTATAGAGGTCCTCAATGACCTGGGAGAAGAGCTTCTTGGTCTCCTTGTGCAGGTTGGAGATGGCGATGCGGGCAGCGAGGATGGCATAGTCGGGGTGCTTGGTCGTCAGGTATGCGGCGGTTTCCGAGGCAAGGTTCTGTATGACGGTTAGTACACACGGGGAGGTACACAGAGATAGCGCACGTCGAGCTCAACAGTGGTCACGCCAGGGTAGACACCAGCGATGACCTTCTTGGTAATCCTACACACCAAAGTCAGTTTCTGTTCCCCCAGTACTGGTACAGACAACGCACTCGAAAGGATCAACATGGTCCTGATCGAGGCCGTAACAGAGCTGTATTGTGCATGAGGATATATCCTATCGTCCTAGGCAATTGAGCAGACCTTTTGTATCCGGGCTGTGATCTGTGAGGCTGGGGTAAGCTTCGATCAACAAAATGGGACTGGGGGCGTACCTTGTCGAACGCGACACGCTCTTTCTTTAGCATGGGTCAGTATCTGACAGATTAACGCTATAGGCGATAGTAACGAACCCGTCTGTATATCAGAGTCAGTAAAGTACATGTTAGAGAGAGGAGAGCAACTTACCCGTCTGTGAGTCAGCGACGCGAACAGCGCGACATCGGTCAGCAAGTCACGCGACTGTTGAAGGGAGACAGCTTACCCCGCTTGAACACGTATGCCATGATGGTTGTTAGTCTACAAAGTGTCTAGTAGGTGAACAGTGGAGAGTGGTAGCGCGGTAAAGGAGGAAGGAGGAAGGAGGAAGGAGGGATGAAGTGTAAGAGGGTAAGAGGGACAGTCGCGTACTTATGGAGTGGACGCGAGACAAATTGCAATTATGCATTGCGCCACTAAGGACGCGCCTTTTGGCTCCGCTAAAGTAAACACGAACGCGTCTCTCTAGTGAGGCATGTGACGCGTTGGACATTACATTCAACCAAATTCTGTTCACTCGTCACATTCCTCACAGAAGGGATACAGCACAAAGGCCGCCATTGATGACTGTCCTCTCTTATTGCTGACTGTACCATCTCTCCATCCCTCGCACGTCCAATCTCCGGATTTAGTCCGTCTGGTATCTACAGGAAAAACAATGTCCGACGTAGCGACCCGCCCATCCCGTCGACGTCGTCACGCCTCCTCATCACACGCGCCCACCAGCCCTGAAACATCGCGCAACCCCGCCTCACCCGATAAGCGCAGGCCGTCGATCGCGACAGATGATCGGACGGAGCTGGAGCTGCTGGTGCTGAGCACCGAGGAGTTTGAGAAGGAGGTGGAGCGAAGGCTGGGCTTGGGCCGCCCTGGTGCGGTCGAGGAGGCTACTCTCAGCGAGCCGGTGCTATTGCCTAGACCGAAGACTAAGGAAGAAGAGGAAGGTCCGTCTTTAACGTCCTTGTTTTATAGCAATGCTAACTGTAACTTGCAGCCCTGCATGCGAAAGTCATGGATCTCCTCCGAGCGCGAGTAACAGCTTTGGAAAAAGAAGAAGACCCCGAGTTTGACCCCCTCTGTCCACTGCCCCAGGACCTAGCAGGGATACAAGATGACCCCCTCTTTGGGAAACTGGAAACGCTCGCGACGCAGATCGTTAGCACTCAGCCCTGCGCTACTGGTATCCCTGAGCGACTGTGAAGACCAACTATCGTACGTGCATTATATCATGAGATTGTGAAGCACGGAGCTGAGTACCGCCAGAGAGTTTGAAGATCAACTGTGTATTGCGGATATGTTATTTTGCTGGTGTGAATGTTGGCTATGAAAGATATGAAGGCTGTGAAGACTATGGAAACAAGAGTTGGTCTACGATGAATGAAAGCGTACTGGCGGTATACGAATGCGAATGCGAGATGCGAATACACAATGCGAGAGGAATGCAACGAGCGAAACAGAAATGCTGAAGAACGATGTGAGGAACATACGGCTACACGCGCCCAGCGCTATTCATCCGTCAGTCCCTACCAACAAAGAGCTCACCACTCGACTTCATACACCCGACTGACCTTGACCCGGCCCAAGATGCTCGCCTCTCCTCTAGCGCGCACGAGCGCCCTTCTCTCCCGTGTCCAAGTGATCCACCTCACCTTCCTCCACCCCCAGCGCCAAGGCCGAAGCTGCTCATACTCCCTCACCCTGTCCCGGCGTTTTTCCTCCCCTTCCTCCCTCGAAGGGTCCCGTTTCACGCACCCGCGGCAGCCACAGCCTCCCTCGTGCGGCACCCCGGGGAAGTAGAACGACCAGTGCGCTTGGTCGATGTATACCGGTTCCCGCTCGCCCTTGTTGGGAAAGATAAGGGATGCGAGCTTGCGCAGCCCTAGTCGGCCGGGCCCGGTGGGTCCCTCGTCTTCTGGTCCGTCATGCGGCGTTTGCTGGGCAAGGGAACGACATGTCGGACACTCGGCGACAGTGGGGAGAGTGGACGCCGACACTTCGGAGATCCGACTCGTAGTGGTGTGCAGGGCGTTCCCCTCGCTATAAGAGGACCACGGTGCGCCGAGAGAGGATCTCCGGCTCCCAGCGTAGGCCGAAGCAGGGCACATCATCGACATGGGTGTATCGGGCGTACCGGGCGTGCTCGGCCCGTCCAGAAAGGATGAGGACAAGGGCGAGCGAGGCGCGCTTTGCTGAGAGTACACCGACGCTGAGACTGTGGACGCTAGCGAGGCCCGCCTGGACCTGCGGGAGGATGCTGATGCTGGTCTAGAGTAGCGGGCAGAGGCGCCAGAGGGCCGGCCAGTGATAAGGGGGAGGTTGTACGTCTCTGCGCTGATTAACGGTGCTGGGTCTATGTATCCCTGCCCCGCCCCGGTATGTCAGTGTAGACGTTCGAGTTGGAGGCAGGGGCAGGGGGGAACGCACCATCATCGTTTGTTTCTGTCCGAGAGTGAAAGCAGGCGGAGCGGACATGCTCCGCCCTCGACCGACAAAGTCCAACTTCATACCGTTGTGTTTGTGTATCGTCGTAAACCCAGGTATGGGCAAAGAGAATAATATAAGATGCGTTGAAGAACGGACAGACAAGTCTAGCGGGATCGGGATCTGTTGGGCGACCGATCCCTAGGTTCTTATACCATCCTCATCATACAACATTAACGGCAGTAAACACACACCTGTTCCCTCCCCAAGGCCATCGCCCTTCGCAGGAGGAGACAATAACTCCGCGGGGAACAAAAGAGCAGTTGGTGCACAGGACCCTGTGCCCCAAACCAAAACGGCAGGAAGAGAGGAAGAGGGGTTTTGTTCGGTTGTTTGTCAATGAGCACATGGGGCGCGTCGTGCGGCTACGTGCATACGTAGTACGTAGCACAAGGCTGAAGGTAGAAGCAGAACCGTACGCTCTGGTGAGTAAGTCGGCCGTCTACCGTCCAGCCCGGACCGGCGAATCTTCAGGCACGACACGGTGTGGCTCCTTGTACAGTACCGGATTCTCGGTTATCAGTCCCTGCTCTCCAGGCGGCGATAGAACGGTCCAACGGTCTAAGGCCCTCTATGCATCAGGCTTCGGGTGCACCCGTCGTTCCCCAATGCAGGAGCGGGAGAAAGGGATGATGGGGGTTATTGTGCCCTTTGTTGGGCCTGGGAGAAGGGGATTCGCCGCACGACAGGAACTCCCTTAGCTTGTTGTTCTCGGTCATTCGTGAACTGGATAAACTCAGTTGGGAAACAAGATCCAGGTGTGAAACCGTACGATATCGGAGTATCAAGCCTACTTGATACAAGTGACAAGGGGTGGACAATCACCGCATTCCGCGTAGGCCTTGCCTGATGTATGCAAGGAGGGTCAAGGGTGCATTGCAGATCTCATATAACATGAACCGGGGTCTAGGAATGTAAGAGGACCTGGCATTGCAATACAGACATGTCAAGGTGACCTAGCTTCATGTGTGGACTTAATGTTTTGCGCGTTGAACTACAAGATGGGTCCTCACTCTCTCTTGTACATCCACCTTCACCAGCTGCCATCCACCGGTCACATCAGGTATGCACTCTTTAATAACACTTCCATGATATCTTACTAACATCATCATCAAGTATAGACAAATTAAAAATACATTGCAAGGTATGAGATGTTGTTGAGCCGGTCAATAGCACAAAACTGACTGATATGCATAGAGCACATTAACCATATCGATCTCATGCCCAGCGCGTCTACATTGCTGCGTGTTTGCTGGTCTTCAGGAAGCAGATCAAAGGGTCGAAGGGTGCAAGGAATCATGCGCATATATGCAGTGTTTGTAGTATAGTGTCATTGCAATGAATGATGTCTGCCTCGCTTCAATAAAGAGATCCTAGGAGTGCTGCTTGGTCCATGTCTGCTAGCATGTGTTTTGTCGAGATGTGTCCAGTGGATCAATCATGGCTAGACTAGAAGTTCATCGAGGCAGTCTAAGAAGGCCAGGTAAGGAAGCCTTGATACCCCTGGACACTGCCTCGGCAAGCCGTGCGCGGAACGCGGTGAATACCCCTGCTGACATCATAAGGGGACAATATTGCAGCTGCTCCTGGGACCGTGCTCAACAGACGAGAAAGTTGTTGGCTTACACCCGAATAGGAAAGGAGGTGTAACGTGCACGCATTCGGACAATCCTGACGCTAGCTTGTTGTCCTTCGATGATGGCGATCGGGGATCATCCTGTGGGCGGAGTCGAAGATATGTTTGACTGGAATTGAAGAACAATAGTGATGGTGGATACTGTAGTTGATAGCGGCTGATTAAGACACTCAAACACCTTAACGCGACATATCTCCCACATAAACAGTCCCTCCCCCACCCCAACCCAAGCACTACAAGACCACACTATCGTCCATCTCCTCAACCGGTTCCTCGTCCAAGCCCAAATGTCCCTCCCTCTCCTTCTCCTCCGCGCGCCTCGCCCTCCTCTCCTTGTCCTTATCCTCTACCAGCTCCGCCCTGCTCACCAGGACGTCACACCCCGTAGCCGGGCACTGTTTTCCCCCCTGGGGAGGGAGATACTGGAGGATCGCTTCCCGGGAATAAGAGTGCTTGCATTTGGTAGAAGTGAGGCAGGAGGTGAGGTACCGCAGCGTTAGGGGACACTTGAGTTGCTGGGTGTTCCCCCCGACGAAGATGTCCTCGTCTTCGTCCGCAAGGTCGCCGTCCTCTGCTCTGCGTCAGCGAGTGCAGGAAACCAGGTGAACGAACAGCCTACCACGCTCAAGCTCCTTGGTAATGAAATCCGGCGCCATGGCATTATCGTCCCCGTTCTGTCCTTGCTAGCAGCCCAGCTCCGTCAGCGAGCCCACTCGGACTGGGACGTGCGTAAGCCCACCCACCCAAACCCCATCGCGGAACTGGAAATACCCCTCGTCCTTCCCATACCTCTGTCTAGCAGTCTTCCCCTCCCAAACCTCCCACTTCTCCTGCGCTCCTTGAGTGTACAACTCCGTCAGGTCAGCCTGCAAGCCGGTGAGGGACGCCTCATATAAGCCAAGGGGAGGGGGGGACGTACGAGTTTCTCCCCTTGGGCTATCCGCTGTCTTAGCCCGTCTAGAGTTGCTGTATGCGCACGGATACGTTGCTGGACGTCGATCATCTTCCTGATAGCCGATTCCAGTTCTCTATCCAACTGCAGAAGCGTCAGCCACGCGCTGTCCCCCGTAACACCTACCCAAAAGCAAAGTGCAAAGTGCGAAACACAACAGAATGGAACGCGACGCAACGGAACGCACCTCCTCATCCCCCCCCGCCTCCCCAACAGCCCGAGCAGTATCAGCCAACAGCCCCACCCCCCTCTCCTCCGCATGCCCAGCCGGCATACTCCAATTCGTAAGGAAAGCGCGCAACATCCTATCGCTCCCCGAGTCCACAGGCTGGTTCCTAAACGTCTGGAGGGAGAAGAACGCAGATGGCGCAGCCCCTTCCCCTGCGCCCTCGCCTTCGAGGTGGTCGTTTTCGTCTGAATCGGCTTCCGGCGCTGGGGGACGCGCCTTCCTAGCTTGGGAACGGCGTGTCCCCTCCTCCCCCGAGTGCGTCCTCACCCTCTGCGTCCCCCCAGGAACATCATGAGCGGTATTCCCCTCCCCCCGTTGTTGCGTAGCTCCCTCGCCAGATCCTGTTCGTGTCCGTGTCCGGGGGCGCTGGGTCCCCTCGCCCGTGCTGGTACGGGTACGCCGCTGGGTTCCCCTAGGCTGGACTTCGGGCTCAGGCTCGGGGGAGGGTTCGGAGTTGGGAGGGCGGGTTGCTTGAGAAGAACGGAGGCTACGACGGGGAGGCATCGTTTAACCTAGTTTTAGTTTCTGTTCTGTGTTGACAAGCAGTCGTCGTCGTCGTCGTCGTTGATGTGTGGGTGGTAGAGGGCGCATGTACGCGACTCTTTGACGCGTTTGAGTGGCTGTGCTCGGAGTTTTTTAGATGTCAAGACAAGGTAAATGGTCTAGAGTGAAGTGACTTGCACTTGCACTACAATTGCTCATTTGCTGGGATGGCTACATTATTACGCTGTACACTCAGAGCGGCCATCGCTCATCCAGTACTGACACCCAGCACACGGACATTACCCTCTTTCCACCCTTCCCCCTGCTTCACCCCCTTCCGCACGCTCAACCCCACCCCCTTCCTCCAACGCACCCTCCACACCTCCCCCACCCTCCAAATGACACTCAACCAAGTCCGCCGAGGAAAGCGCAAGCCCCACAGACAATCCAAGCCTCGCTCTCCCCAGCTCCTCCAGTGCCCACAGCGACGCGCCGTCTGCGGGAAGATCTTCAGCGAGGTCAAGCCCAAGAAGCCTAATTCTGCTAAACGCAAGGTTGCCCGGGTCAAGCTCACCACAGGGAGGAGCGTGATGGCGTATATCATGGGTGAAGGGCATAATTTGCAGGAACATAGTGTGGTGCTTGTGAGAGGGGGGAGGACGCAGGATTTGCCTGGTGTTAGGTGGGTGCTGTGTTTTGGGTTGGGAAGGGGGCGCGGCTGATGAGTGTAGGTATAAGATTGTGAGAGGAGCGCTGGATTTGAATGGTGTGCCGAATAGGCAGACGTCGAGGAGCAAATACGGGGGTATGTGTGTGCGGTATAGGATGGGCATGGCTGATCGTCTCTGTAGGGAAGAAACCGAAGAAGCAGTAGATGGGTAGTTTGCTGTGTGATACAGTATATTGGGTGATGGAATGTATATCGTCCCATTCGTTTACAGTGTGAATGTGCTCTATGAGATGCATCCATGTCCATTGAATACTCTCATCCCACTGAACATAAGATGACATACTATTACAAGTGGCAGTGAAGAACAACAATATCATCTCTTCTTCGCCGTTGTCCATGTCGATAGAATGACAAGTATCGAGCAGTTGTTTGGCCGTTCCTCTGTGGACATCTTCATTCCATCATCTGAATTATCACTGACGACGATTACTGACTACGCTGGATGGGCAAACCGAATCCAATCACGCAAATTCGCGTTTTACGGTACAGTACTCACTCACCTTGCTCTACCCCTCTAACACCCGTCTCGCAGATGAACACCTCCCACTCATACTCTCACTCCGTATCCCTCTCTCTTCTTCTTCATCAGACACACCACCAACCAACGTGCTCACTCTCCTATCCCGCACCCAGCTCACCCTAGAAGCAGCCTACATCGCCCCCACCCACCCATCCACACCTCTCAACCCTCACCCTCCCTCCGCACGTCCCTCCTCCGCACTCTCCCTCCCCCCGTCAAGAGCAGCATCACTCCGCCCCTCAGCGCTCAGCGTTCCTCCCCAGACGCCTGTTCCTACCCCGGGCACAGCGGACTGGGACAGGAAGTTCGCCAGAGCGGAGGGAGTGGTCATGGGTACGTTCGTGTGGGGAGAGGGAAAAGAGGGCAAGGATGGGAAGGAAGAGTTCAGGCTGCTTTGGTCAGAGAGGGACAAGGCTTGGATAGCGCTGTTCACGATGCAAGTGACGATCTGTGCGCCTTCCCTCCTCCGAATGCCTAGTATGAACTAACCGACCACCCGCTCCCAGCCTACCTGCGTACCCGGTCCACAGACCCCCTTCTATGCCTCACATGCTCCGCAACACTGAGGGACAAGCCCCTTCCCCTAACCCCCGCCCGCAAGCCCTTACACTCCCTTTCCCCCCCCTCGCTCCCCTCCGAGCCCCCAACACCCAGCAGCGGGAGCAGCGACCTCCCCCCCTCCTCCTCAGAAGAGGAAGAGGAAGCGCCCAGGTTTGAGGAAGTGAACCTGCTCGACGGGCTGCTCCGGCCTCTTCCAGACCTAGAACTACCCTCGACCCGGCTAGCCCAAACACTGAGGCGCGAACTGTTCTCTCTCCCCCAGCTAGAGTCCCCCCCTTCCTCTGCCGTCCCTAGTACTGCCCCGACGCCTACGCCTACCCCTTACGCATATGCACACGCGCATGCGAGAGCCAGATCCGTACCGGCCATAATGCGCAAGGCGTTCCGCCGTGTGCTGCCCGTGGTTGGAGGGCTCAAAGTCCGGATGAGGGCTGCCTTCCTCCCGCGTCCTTCTGGTGATGGTCATGGTCCACATCAGCCTTCGGACGCCGACGCGGAGGAGGACGACGACCAAGTGGGAGAAGAAGGCGGGGAGAATAGGAAATGTGTCCTCTGCGTCGAAGTCGAGAACTCGGGAGAAGGCTACTCATTCGAGTTGCAGCAAGTTGATGTCCTTCTCAGCGGGGGTGATACGCGCACTTTGCTCCTTTCCTGGGATCCCGCCCAGTCTAGTGGGGGGCTCTTCCCTCTTAGACTGAAGGCACAGGATCAGTATAACCTCTTGTATGACGTGAGGTTCACACCCTGGACTGCGGCTGGGACTGCGGCTGGGACTGCGGCTGGGACTGGGACTGGGATGGGGGCGGGCGCAGCGGCGGGACAGGGCAAGTCTCGCCCAGCACAGAGGAGCGTAAGCATCACCGTTCTAGGGCGGGCGTTCCTTCCCGTCCCCTCAAGTCCTCGGACACCGACGCTCGCTCGCCCGAATGGCGCTAGTGCCGGCGCTGGTGCTGGTGCGGGTGCGGGTGCTGGTGCGGGGAAAGTCCCGGAGGTGGAGTACGTCACTGACAGTTTTCCTTCGACTTGGAATTGTATGATCGACGTTACGCCTACCCAGCCAAGCGCGAGAGGAGGGGAAACGTTCCCCCCACCCACGGCCACCTCAGCCCCAGGAGCAGGAGCAGGAGCAGGAGCAGGGCAAGGGCAAGGGACAACGCCCAACCCCTATGGGACAAACGCGAACCACCACTTGTCGCCTATCGCCTCCCCCCTAGCAACAGAACAAGACAAACGGGCCACGCTAGCTGCTCTCCCTCTCCCTCCTGTCCTCCCTTCCGCACCCTCTAGGCGCCCACCACCGAGGAGCCACACCCTCCCCTCCCTCTCCTCCTCACTCTCGCTCAACACCAACCTCCCCCGCTCGCCCTCATCCTCATCGCCCAAGAACGCACCACGCGCGAGCCTCATGACCCTCCTCGGACCGAACGGAGTACCCGTCGTCGTCCCCTCCCCTTCGGCGGGTTCGCCCCGCCGCAGCGCGGGGCAGAGACCGCCTGCGACGCCCGTGTACCCCCCGCAGTCGGCGACGAGGGAGAGGAATCGGGTTTCTTTCCCGCCGGGGAACGTCAGTCCCAGCCCCGGGATGGGAATTCCAGCGCCCACCAGCGTCTACCCATCCCAAGTCCAAGTCCAAGTCCTATCACAACCCCAAATGCAAATGCAAGTCCCAACAGAACCAGTACTGGTAAGCATCGCACTCCAGTACCCGGCCCTGGTTGTACAAGACACCCTCCGCCTGCTGGATATGTTCAACCTCGAGGTGTTCGTCTTCAACCAGTCGAGTAGCGTCCGCCGGCTCGTGGTCAGTTGTCCGCCTTGGCGGCCCATACCCGGTTCGACCGGCGGTACGTCCCCTTTTCCAAGTCCTGCCCAGGCAGTTGTCCCCAGCGGGATGTTGGGTATGGGATGCAGAACACTAACCCTTTGGCTAGACGACCAAGTCCAGAACTCGCGCGCCGCTTTCATCCCGCTAGAGAACTCCAAGCCCCTAGGCCCACTCCAGCCCCACACATGTCAGTCCGTCCAGCTGCCATTTCTCGCCCTGCGCGCAGGGGTACATGTGGTGGATATGCTCGAGCTGAGGGACGAGGATACGGGGTATGTGCTCTGTTTGAGGTGAGCGTTTTGACCTTCGTCGTGGGCGGAGGGCTGATGAGAGGGACTGATGGTTGCGTGCAGGCAGGTCGCGGTTGTTGTCGTCCGGGAGATGGGAGAGGTTGTGAAAGGGGAGAAGGTGAAGGAGGTGCTTGAGGTTTAGTGGAGTATCGGACGATGGGCGATGAGCATTGGGCATTGGGCATTGGTGATCGAAGGCGGAGTATTGGAGCGGGATTGTCCCTCCGGGAACTGTCCACGGACTGGACTAATCCTGGAATTATTGGGCTGCTGCAGTTACATTACAACAAATGCGCTGTTGCTGGGTAATGTAAAGCGTTAACGCTCTCCCGTCACCTTCCTCGGTAGAAGATACTCGTCACAACCATATTAGCAACTCATGGCCAGCCGGTGCACTCCCCTCCTTTCCTCTCTCCGACCACTCGCCGCTCTACCTCTCCACCCCCGCCGAGCACTCTCCCTATCCATGTCCATGTCCCATCCTCCCGACTTTGTCCCAGCTCCAATCCTCGCCTGCGCCAGAACGCTCCGCCAGCAATTGCACGCCCGCTCCCAATCCCTATCCATAATCGAGACTGCCTGTGGCGGACTCCTCTCCTCCACATTCGTCTCCACCCCCGGGGCGAGTAGTGTCTTCCTCTGCGGGCAGGTACTCTACACCCCTCTCGCGCGCGCTGCGTTCGGTGGGTGGTCGGCGGAAGACGTAGTCGCCTATTCCGGGCCTGGGACGCAGGTCGTCCTCCGCCTCGCGCGGGAGAACCGGCGTGTGCTGGGGGCAGACTGGGTACTCGTCGAGAGCGGAATCGCAGGTCCGGGAAGGAAGGAAGAGTGGGAGAACGGACAACCCGGGTATGTCGCTCTGGCAGTCGTGGGCCCAGGGGTGGAGAGAGCGGTCGAGGTCCGCACTGGGGGGACGGAGAGGGTGGGCAACATGTGGGAGTTTACGAGGTTGGCGTTGGAGTTACTTTGGGAGTGTGTGGAGCAGACAGAGGAAGGATGATGAGGTTAGGTAGAGGATCAGAACGGAGTGAGAGTTCGTTGTTATTGTTATTGTTGTTGATGATAATGATGGTGTTGACAATGATATTATTCATACGAGTGCCAGCTGGCATGCCTCCATTAATAATACCACTCCACACCCTCCCCAGTATCCTCTGTTCACAACCAACGACCACCACCACCTCCTCCTCCTCCAACCCCACCCAACCCAACTCCACCCAGCCCAGCCCAACCGAAGACACAACAATGTCCTTCCCCCCCCCTCCCTCCAAGCCCGCCTCACGCACCTCACCACCCTCCTTCACACCCACAAGCTCACCCTATCACTAACCGAGACCGCCAGCGGAGGCCTCATCCTCCACTCTTCTCAACCCCTGGAGCGAGCAGCTTCTACCGCGGGGGGCTGACGCTCTACACTCTGGCATCTCGTGTCCTTTTCGGGGGATGGACGGAGGAGATGCTAAAGACGTATAAGGGGCCTACGGAGGGGGTTGTGCTAGGCTTGGCTAGGCATCATAAGCGTGTGCTAGGTGCGGACTGGGTGCTGGCGGAGAGCGGGACTGCTGGGCCTAGTCGTAGTGTGCCGGGAAAGAACGGCGACCCGGGGTATGTGGCACTCGCAGTTGTTGGCCCTGGAGTGGAGAAGACGCTTGAGAGGAATCTGGAGGATAGGGGGAGAGGGGAGAATATGATCCAGTTCGCTGGGCTGGGGATGGGGTTGCTTGTTGAGGCGATCGAGGAGGAGCTTAAGAGGCAGGGGAGGCTGTAACTGTTTTCCCCGGAGGAGGAAGGGGTAGATTACACAGTTCTGTTCTGTAAGATACAACCGAGTACAGAGGAAGAAGATCAACTCATCACCACATCCACATCCACATCCACATCCACGTCTACATCCTTGCCCTCTCCCCGTCCCACAGCCTGCAACACCCCTCTCGCCCAAACCCGGTCCAGATCCTGAGAGATCATCCTCCCGAAATACGTTCCAAACACCTCTTGGAGCCTCTTCTCCCCCGCCTGATCCAGGGCGCTCTCTTCCGCTCCCCCAGGGGCAGGCGCACCAGGTGCCAGAAGGCGCAGAGCCTCCCTCACAGCCCTGACAGCCTCTGCCACCTGCTCCTGCTCCTCTTCCCCCCCATCCCCCCCCTTCCCAGCCTCTTCAAAAGCCTCACATTCCCTGCCCAAGCTCTCAGCGCCCCGGCTCTCCACCAACCCCCGTCTCACCCCCTCCACGCCTAGCGCCGCCAGCCCGCGCACCGCTCCTGCGCGCGTCGGGAGCGCGCGCTCCGGTTCTAGGAGCGCGCGGAGGAGGGTCTTGAGTAGCCGGGAGGCGAGTGTGGTGTATTTCGGTGAGTAGAGGGTGATGAGTTGATGTAGTGTTGAGGCTGCGACTGGGCGGAGAGAGGGGGCAGGGTGGGGGTGGACGAGCAGGAGGGAGAGCAAGGGTGGGAGAATTTGATGTAGCTGCCCACCAGGGGTTAGTTATACGGAAGCCGGGGAAAAGAGGGGACAGACATAAGGTTCCAAGAAGATGTTCTCGTTTTTCGCCATACTGCCTATCATCCCCAGCGCGACTTGAAGAACGGCAGGGTCGCCCTCTTCCGCCCGGGCGAGTTCGCGCGTCACCCGCTCCCCGACCCAGTTAACGAGGTTCGGGACAAGCAGCTGGAGCCCTGCGTCTGCTGCTAGTGATGCTAGCGCAGCTGCACGGCGCGCGTCGTCTGGCGAGAGGAGGGCGGAGAGGAGCCGGGTATGGTAGAGTTGTAAAGGGAGGGGGAGGGAGGAGGGCAAGGAGGAGGGAGGGGAGGAGGGGGAAGAGGGACGGTCTGTTTGTGTGTGGGAGGTTGGTGGCGGGGGCGGGTTCTCCGGTATGAGAGGTTGTACACCTTCTACTGCTAACCAGTGTGCTATTTCCTGTCAGTTTCCCCCGAACCTCAAGAAGCACAGAAGAGCGCATACGTTTCACACCCACCTCCCGGGGCACCTTAACCCTCCTCTCCCTAACGACGCGCTCCAAGTCCACCTCCTCGTCCTCCACCGCATACACGAATGATTTGGCCTCAGAATGGTTCGGCTGAAAACGGCGGAACGAGAGTGGCACGCTCGGGGAATGGCCGTACAGAGGCTCGATATTAAGGTTCCGGAGGGCGAGGTCGATGTCTGCCGTAGTGAGCACGGTGCGTTTGGCGTGTTTCATATACCGGACTGCTTCCTGCGTGTGTGTGAGTATTGGATATGGATGAGGGAGGGAGGGGGACGCACCTCGATAACTTGGTTGATCCTGTACTCTACATCGCTGGCTAAAGCACTCGCGATGGCCTCCTGCAACCCTCCAACACCAAGGGAATCGGCAACGTCCTACATCCCCAGTGAGCGATGCACCCAAAACTCAATACCAGAGATCAAAGCCAGAGAGAGAGTGTGTGTGTGTGTGACAGAGAGAGGGACATACCTTGATAGAATCACTCTGTATCACACCTGTCGCGTGCGCAGGCCGCTTGCGCGCTGTTGCCGGAGGCTTGGGATGTATCCCGTTGGGTTTTGCTTGAAGAGAGTTCATGTTGCTCTGGTTGATATTGGAAGTATGATGTTGTAGAAATACTGAGAGGAGAGGAGGAGGAGTTGGAAGGAAGAGAGAAGGGAGAGTGCAAGTGCTAGTCCAGAGTGAGGTGAATGGGCGCCAACAACGATTTGAGTGGCGATCCCTATCGGCCCTAGTATTTACCCCTTATCACCGACACCCTTCACGCGTTCGGCCGACCAAATTTCGATTTCCTTACTACAACAAAATAATCCGCAGGCTCGACAATATTAATTCTCAGTAGACGGCCAACCGGCCCTCGCCCTCCCCTCCTGGCAAACCTCAACTACCCCCACCCCCATCCCTCCTCACCCCCAGGCATATGTCCCCCCCAACACTCACCCAATCCCTCCTCGCCGGTTCCCTAGCCGGAACATCCGTCGACCTCCTCTTCTTCCCGCTCGACACGCTCAAGACGCGTCTCCAGAGCCGGCAGGGTTTCTGGCGCGCGGGGGGGTTGGGGGGCATATATAGAGGTGTGGGGAGTGTGGTTGTTGGTAGTGCGCCGGGGGGTGAGTGCCTGTTCATCCCATCCCGGGGGGCAGGGCTGACGTGGGTGGTTGTGGTTGTGGTTATGATGGACAGCGGCAGCGTTCTTCGTCATGTACGAACAGATGAAGCATCTCCTCCTTCCCCTCCTACCCGGGGAACAATCCGCGCCTGCACGACACCTCCTAGCCGCCAGCACGGGCGAGATATGCGCATGTCTCGTGCGCGTCCCTACAGAGGTAGTCAAGTCCGCAGCTCAGACGGGTGCTTACGCAGTTTCGGCCGCTGCTGGCGTGGAGCGGAGTGGGACTGGGAGCGGGACTGGGAGCGGGACTGGGGTTATAGGGAAAGGAAAAGTAGGGAGCTGGGAGAGCGCAAGGAGGTTATGGGGCACTGAGGGGTTGAGAGGGTTCTACAAAGGGTTCGGGACGACCGTTGCTCGTGAGGTGCGTCTGCGTTCATCCCTGCCTTTCTCGCCCTCCCCTGCCCCCCAGCCCTGCTCCTCCCGCACTCACACGCTCACACGCCGATAGATCCCATTCACGTCCATCCAGTTCCCGCTATATGAGCAACTCAAGTCTCTCTTCTTCCGCTACAGTGGGCGCAAGGCTTATTCTGGAGAAGCAGCTATATGCGGGAGCGTAGCTGGGGGAGTAGCAGCAGCGATCACGACGCCGTTAGACGTAGCGAAAACACGTGTTATGCTGGAGATGCGTGTAAGTGCCTCCCTGCGGATGTGAGAGTGTTGGCTGACTGTGTACAGACTGGAGGGAAAGGGAAGAGTATTTACGGCCGATTGTTGCAGATCCGTGCTGAGGAGGGAGTGCGAGCGTTGTTTGCGGGAGTGTTACCCCGTACAGTGTGGATCTCTTGTGGTGGTGCTGTCTTCCTAGGCGTGTATGAGTGGGCCATAGCAATACAGTTGCCATAAATGGACACTTTTGATGGTACCCTATGACGTAACCTATCCGTCAGTACATCGTCAACTGCATCCGCACTACTCTGCTTTGCACTTGCTCGTCACCGATCTTTGGTCTATGCATCGTGTTGTTCATCCCATGGAGTCGGATATTTTGGAATATATAACACGCTCGCCCTAGTCGTGTGGGGCGGTTGGAGCATATAACCCCAGCGAGGTGTTGTCCTTCATCACCCCTCTTAACCACCCCGCGACACCTCGACACCCACACCCAACAGTAACAGTAACAACAGCTCGGATGGCCCGGTAAGCCCCTCCTCCCCCTTCCCCCACTCACCCGCTCACCCCACACAGCATCTTCTGCATCCCCGGTATAATCTTCCTCCTCCTCGCCCTCGTCCTCTCCATCCTAGTCACAATCTCACTCCCCTCCCTACACCCCTTCGACATCACCCGTGTCACGTTCCTCTCCGGGCTCGGCACCATCTCCGGAACACCGGACAACGTCTCCGGCCAGTTTAGGTTCGGCATATGGGGTTATTGTTATCAGACGAGCACGACCAGCGGGTTTGACTGTGTCCATACCGGACATGGGTATGCCGTCACCGTGGCTAACCAGCAGGGGGGGACGGAGACGGTAGGAACGAGCTGGACAAGAGGGCTTGCAGTGCATGCCGTCGCGTGTGTCGTTACTGGGATCGCGTTCCTCTTGTCCTTCAGCGAGCATGTTACTGTCACTCTGTACGCCGCCCCACTCACCTTCACAAGCCCTGCTAACCCCACACCTCTAGCGTCTCCTCTCTAACAGCTTTCCTCGCCGCTCTCCTAACACTCATCGCCTTCGCCTGCGACATCGCCCTTCTAACATGGACGCAGCACCAGATGTCCCAACTCAACATCAGCGAGCACACTTCTCCCGGACCGGGGTTCTGGATGACCCTGGTCACGTTTATCCTCCTTCTGTTTGCGGGATGTACGGTCTGTTTTGGACATAGGCGCGAGAGGTACGTGAAGGGTGGAGCTGGGGGGGAGTATGCGATGGGAGGCGCGCCGTGGTGGAGGAGGCAGCAGGCGAAGGTTCGCCCGGCGGCGGTATGAAGCACTGGACTATGGTCAGCAGAGTCGACCACGAACTGCCTGCTTGGTGAGGAGGCTAGGCCATACATACACGTCTTTCTCTCTTTTTCTAATGTGTTCGTGTTACGTCCCCCTTTACTCAAGGGATGACAATCGCTACGTCTACATCTACGTCTACGCTAATAGTCAAACTGTTATTACGCGCCCTGCTGGGAGAGGTTCTGCTACCTTCATGGTAGGCAGTACTATTTCCGTGCTCTCTTCCCCTTATCAAACAGCCGCAAACAGCCGAGCCCGAGGCAAAATCGGGAACCACAAGGTTGGCGAACGGCTTCCATCCAACCCGCGCCCTCCTCCGAGTCCTCGTTCGTCAGTCCGAGCGTTCATGCGCGTTTCGTGCCGTTCGTGTCCCAGCCCTGGCTCGAGGGAAGAAGGATGACGTCAGTGTCTTACTCCGTCTCACTTGATAGGGATCACGTGTCGCCTGACCCTTCGCACCTCGCACCTGAGGCCTCTTAGCCCAGCCTTCTCGTACTACTAGGTGCAGGTGGGACATGGCCTCGAACTTCCTCTTTTTCTCGAAGCGCTTGGACTATGGACTGGCTTGACTGGCTGTACTTGGCTTGGGGACTCGGGGACTCGGGGATAGCGGGCTTGAGTGTCTGTTCCTTTTTGCGATGCTTTCTGGTCGCCGATGGCTGATCGCGTGCTACTACTACTACTACCAATACTAGTACCAGTACAAGTCATCGTCGATCCTGTACAAGTCAAGCGCTTCAACTTACGCATCAAAAGGCTTCCAAAGTAAAAGATCTAGAAGAGAAAACTTGAAGTCCCTCCCAAGCCCCTGGGCCCCTGGGGTCCCCTGTCTCTCAGGCTCTCCCTCGATCACGAGCATCAAGACCTTTCCCTCTAATCCCACAGGGCCACGCTTCGGGCTCGCCATTTCAAGATGGTCTCTCACTCTATCCCCTGCTGCTCAAAATAATCTCGGCGGTGCAGCTGACACCTTTTAGTCTGAGCCGGCGCTCCTCAAGTGCCGTATGGTACATACGGTAACGGTATATAAGACTGGCATGGGTCGACGCCTGCCAGTGCTTCGCGTCTCCCCAACAAGGTACGACAGGCCACCCAAATCAGCACCGATGGCAGCGTAAGTCCCTCTTCTCCCCCCAGTACCCCTAACCTCATCCCCAAAAACAGCGCATTCTGCATCCCCGCAATCATATTCCTCTTCCTCGCTCTCATCCTCTCAATCCTCGTCACCGTCTCCCTCCCCTCCATCCACAGGCTCGACATCGCCCGCGTAGACTTCCATTCCGGCCTAGGGTCGATCACGAACCTTCCTCCGAACTTTGCAGGCGAGTTCAGGTTCGGCATATGGGGCTACTGTTTTACGACGTTTAACACGCTTACGGGGTTTTACTGCGTGCACACGGGGAGCGGGTATCCTGTCACGTTTGCAAACCAGGTCGGAGCGACGCAGACTATACATTCGAGTTGGATTAGAGGGCTCGCAATGCACGTAGCGGCTTGCGTCCTTACTGGTATCGCCTTCTTCCTCTCTTTTAGCGAGATGGTCCTCGTAACGCTGTACGCTCTCATCCCCCCCCCGGCCGCCCGGTACGAACTAACGTGAAACCCAGGCTCTGCGCCATCTTCTGCCTCCTAGCACTGCTCCTCTCCCTCGCAGCTTTCGCAGCCGACATCGCCCTCCTCGGCTGGGTACAATACCAGCTCTCCCTCCTCAGCCCTCTGAGCCAGAACGCCTACCCCGGTCAGGCATTCTGGATGTCAATGGTCATCGTCATCTCCCTTATTATCGCTACTATTACGGCTTGTTTGGGACATAGGGCCGAGAGGAGGGTGAGGAGGAAGGCGGGACAGCCTGTGTATCCGACGTGGCGCAGGCCCGGGAGGCAGGAGAAACCGCCTGTGGTGGTCTGATGGGCTCCTAGGCTTCTGGCCTTCTCTCCCTCATCTCTACGCTCCCGTTGGGCGAACCTTTCCCTTACCTGACTCATTACGGACCGTACGATCCATTTGCCCAACATCTTATTCAAAATTTGTGTTTCCGAGTCAAGGTTCCCTGTGCCTACGGAGACACCCATTATTACGTGATAAGACAAACTGTAGCGTGTGCCCTGTGGGCAAGTCGACCCACATTTTTCTGGGATTGGAAGCTGGCCAGACTCGTATGACCTCATGTTGTCCTTTCTGGTGCTGTCACATGCCTGTTTTTCCGCCCAGTGGTCCAAGCCTTTTTCCGTGGCTGGCCATCAGAACCTGACTTGCTTCTTAATATCCAGCATAAATCGCTCTATACCACCTTCTTCTCCAACTCAACCAGAAATTAAGCATTACTAGTACTTATTAGTAACAAAGGACGAAACTCTCGCAGAAAGCGCACAAAACCCTTTTGGACGCAGCTTTCCGGGGTCCGCAGCCCGACCATTTATTCTCTGCGTCAGTCAACTCAGGAAATCGCCTGGCAAGGCTTAGCCTGCTCGCCCCCTCCCTAGGTATCCCGGCGGGGTTCTCTGCTGACCATGCGTACCTCGGCAGAGGCTGAGGCTGAGGTCTGCCGTCCGGTCTCAGATTGGGCTTGCGGAAGAGGGATATAACCCGCTGAGAGTTGGAGTGTGGGTCTGCTGTGTCCACTACAACATGGGCGATCGGGATATGAACGACCACGGGATGAATGCTCGTGGGGTGAACAACCGCGAAACGAACGATGGCGAGATGAATCACGAGATGAACGATAGTCCAGCCGACTCAATAGAGCAACCTATCGACACGATGGCCACGTAAGTCCACGCCACGATTCGAAAGTACAACGCTCACCCCCCGCAGCGTACTCTGGATCCCGGGGATAATCTTCCTCTTCCTCGCCCTTCTCCTCTCTATCCTCGTCACCATCTCCGTGCCCCCGATCCACCGATTCGACATCACCCGGGTACACTTCTTCGATGGCCTGGGCAGTATCACCAACCAGCCTCCGGATTTCTCGGGCGAGTTCAGGTTCGGATTATGGGGGTACTGTTTTACGATCGACACGTCTGCCGGGTTTCACTGTGTGACTACCGGGAACGGGTATTCGGTCACGTTTGTAAACCAGGCCAGGGTGAGCGAGACTGTCGGATCGAGCTGGACTCGGGGGCTCGCAGTGCACGTCGTGGCGTGCATAGTTACTGCCATAGCTTTCGTCCTCTCCTTCAGCGAGAGAGCGACCGAAAGGCTGTACGTCTGAACTCGCCAGCCATTGGCCAGCCGCTGATCGCACCCAGGGTCTGCTCCGTCTTCTCCTTGTTCGCGACGCTCTTCACCCTCGCAGCATACGCATGCGATATCGCCCTCCTGGGATGGGTGAGGCACCAGACGGACCAGCTGAACATCAGCCAGAGCACGTATCCCGGGCAGGCGTTCTGGATGACTCTCGTCATCCTTATCGTGCTTATTCTTGCGACGGTTACGAGTTGCCTCGGATATCAGACAGTGAGGAAGGAGGGGGGGGATGGAGGGCACCGAAGAAGGGTACCCTGGCAGAGGAGCGAGAAAACGGGAAAACCGCCTCCAGCCGTGTAAGGGCACATAACTCTGGCACCTTGTCTACTTTTACGGTCAGCGGATATTGCCGCAAGCAACGAGAGACGCACCTGATATTATCACGCGCGCGCGAAAATTTTCTTTCCCAGTTGGGCTATCATTTTTTGTGCGTAGAGAACGTGCAAGTTAGGAGAGTTGCCGAGAACCGCGCGTTACAGGACACGATTAATTGCCAAGTGTGCTTCTGTTGGATGTGTGCAGATAGGCAAGTCGCCAGCAGTCCATGGGATTGAGTCTGGTGTCCTCACACAGGGAGATGCCCGCCGAAAAACTTACGCGTCCTCTTCACAGAATGAGAACGTAGGATGACTGGTCTCGTAGGACCGGAGTTGATCCCGGAAGAAGCATTAGTCGGCGATGTGCGGGCCGAAGTTGACTGCCATAAACGGATGGGTCGTAGAAAGATTGTCAGCTCACGTGAGCAAATTGGGGATGAGGCGACAACCTCTCCTTTTGCATCTTCACCGGAGTAAATACTAGTACTCCTTTTGACAATGATGGTATGAATAGCTGGAGTAGATCATGAAACGAAGGGGCACCATTGCAACGTGTCCGGCTGCGCTCGGCGATAATAGCTGCCAGAGAGCCACGCAAACCCTGCGGCTGCGGCGGTGCAGAATTGAGTCCGCCAGGGTGCGGGGAGTCATCGTCAAACAGCGGTGACTTACATGAGCGTTGGCGCGTCGAGGGCAAGGGAGGGGTTCTCCTCTCGACCACCACCTCCCCTCCTCCTCGAGTCAGCATCGATACCCTTCGACTCATCGCACATCCATCCATCACACCGTACATCCACGTATCGCTTTGCAACTTGCATCGAACAATCTCGTACATTGTCGTATCGAAACGATGGCGCATTACGCGAGCTATTTTGGCTCAGTGGAATGGGGTGTCGGTCTAGATCAAGCATTTTCACACCGGTCAAACGAGCAACAGCAGCAGCAAATCTCAAACAACAATGTCAAGACCGACCTTGCGTTTCTCTCTGACTCGTACGCCGCAATGCGTAGCGCACAATGCGGCAGTCAGATCATCACAAGTTCAAATACCAGCCCCATCAGCTTGGATGTGCCTAGTCTCTCCCTCGCTGACATCATGGACCCATCCTTCCTCAGCGGGTTGGATAGCACTTCGCTCGAGATGACCTCGGATGGTATGACCGACTCACCCTCCGAGGAAACTGACGTGTCTCACGAATCGATTTGGTTAGGTATCAATCCAGACTTGCTCGCCTCCTTCAACCCCTATCTTTCAACCGATTGGAGCTCGGAGCAGCCACAAACCGTGGTACCGAGTCAGCTCTGGCGTAGCTCCAGCCCCACATACGTCCAGCCGAGCTCGTTCGACCTCGCCAGCAACGCGCTCGCTGCGGCGCTTCCGGGGAACGACCTCGCCGCTGGTAACCACGATGCCCCAGTCAATCATATCCCCGTTCAGTCTGCTGCGGAGCCAACTCCTGCATCTCCTATTGGCTCCGACAATTCTGCTGCCGGCTCGCCATCGGACGAGTCATCCACGTCACCCGTTCCAGACGTCGCCATCAAGACCGAGCCCGATCTTGAGCTCGAGGACGGCAGGGCCATCCGTAGCCTCCCCACTCGCGCATCAAAATCCCGTCGGCGGATCCCGCTCGACGCACCCATCCAGCCCCGGAATTACAATGGTCCCAGCCGTACCGCCGCGAAGCCCTTGCCCAAGGGATTCGAGAAGGCGCTTTCGATTGCACAAGCTGCGGGTGTAAAGCGGAAACTGGAGGCAGACGATGAAGAAGACGATGAAGAAACGACCGAGCTTGTCCGCACAATCAAGGACAAGGTAGCGCTTAAGCGGGCGAAGAACACGCTCGCCGCTCGCAAGTCCCGCGCACGCAAGGCCGCGTATACCGAGGAGCTCGAGCGCTCTATCTCCGAGCGCGAGGAGCGCATTGCCGAGCTTGAGCGCACGATCCAGGAGCGCGATGTCGAAATCCGCGTGCTCAAGTCGCTCCGATATGCCGAAGACGCATGAGCTCTTCGTCCGTCCATCATCTAGCTTGCAAGTCAAGCACCAACTACACAGTAGCGGTCACAGAGTTGAAGGGGATAGGAGGGGCGCGTAGCCGAGAGGCCGTGAGGACGATAACGACGACGACGACGAACCTGCGCACGGACCCCCATCTCACGGACCTTGCGTACATCTCTCACCTTTTCTTTCGGTCTCACGGTTTTCTTAAAAGTCTTACGACACCACAACCACATCAATTGCGCCCCTGCATCTCGCACCACTTCACGCCTCGCACGACATCAAGCCGCGCGTCGCGCACACGCCGACCGCACACTCGCACCACCAACCAGCCCCGTTCCCCCCTTTTCGCTCAAATTCAAACGTCGGTACACTTGTAGTCCTAATTTCTTCTTCTGTTGCGTGTTGCCTGGTTTTTTTTTCTGCGTTTCTCCTGTTGCTTGTTCTCAATGTCATTCCCAGTATCTCCTAGGAGGAGATCTCCGCGAAGGAGAAATGGGATCAGAGTACGCGTTGTATTTGTATAGCACCACCACCCAGCCAGTTGTAGATACTGTAATATCCGCCCGCGCCTTTGCTCCCACGTCGGAGACAAATAACGGGAAAGAGATAGCACCGTCCCACACCTCTCTTGGCATCGATTCCTTGCTCCGAATGAAGGAGAACAGGGATTGCGATGGAAATAAATTATATTACAATCTGCAAATCTCTTGTGTGGGAGATGTGATGCGGGATGATGATGAGATGATGAAATTCAAATTACTTACGGTTCCCAAGCGTGGGTGCTGATGCCGCTGTACAGGAGCAGTGAGGATGATATATATCGTTCGATCTGGGAGTGCAAGGTGAATGATGTCCGTCGTCCTCATACTTGATACAACGAATGGCTGCTGTTCCTTTCTCGATCGTGCGATCCTTTCGCATATTTTGATACTTGATGCCGGATATGCCATCGGGGACAACAAATGGGCGATCGCAGCGCATCGGACAACATCTCGAACTGAGAGACAACAACGTCGAGCAAGGATCGGTGTCGTAGCGTGCAGATGCAGGCACTCAGAGTTGCGTCAGCAGTGGGAATTGGTGAATCGACAAGTTGGGTGCCAGGCGGTTGCTCAGGTGAATGAGTATTGTTGCAATTGGTGCGTCAGGATGGCTCATATGCACATCTTGAGGCTGTAAGCTCCGACTCGCCGGTGTCCTTTGGTCTTGTCCTGAAGTCGTACTCGAGTCTAGACCGGTGGTAGGCAAAGTCGGGCATCGCAAAGCGTAGGCGGGTGGGAGACATGACGGCTCATCGGCTTCTTCCTCCTCAGTTGAAAGTTCGCCTCTCATCCGTAGGTGTACAGCAAATTAGGCTCCCTCCAACCCTCACCAGGGGTTGGACAGCAATGCACCTGGATTGACGTAGTTACGCGGTTAGTTTGGGGCGTTAAAATCCGCTGTAAGATATTGGGGCCCATATAGCTGGGTCGGGGATGACTTGTCGTCGCCTGGTGCCCCAGATACCTATGAACGTGACACCAAGATGGACAGCAATGCCATGACCGGCTAGCGTTCATAGTGCCGAGTGCTCATTTGGAGCACGAAGATGTGTATGGTGCTAAAGGTCGCGTGCGCTGTTGTCAGGCCTTTCGGAGAGATCGGATCCTGAGACCGGCAGAAAGGAGGAGCCTGTTATTCGATCTGACTCGGTCGAGAATTGCGACGCGAGGTATCCAATATTGTCCTCATCGTTCTTCCTGCAAATCCGACCGCCGTTCCTGCCACGCTGAACCTTGAATCCCCGGAACATGCCTGACGGTCAGTGGGTGATGGGTGATCTGAAAATAGCCGAGCCAGGTGGGGACCATAGCCCATCGGAATACGGTCGACTTCGAGGTCCCGCACACACGAGCGCAACGGTTTCCCCAGTCGGTGGTAGCCGCCCTCCATGCACTAGCAGTGTGTACAATATCCTTGGGGATGATTGTACGCGAAATAAATCGCAGGTAGGTTCTTTACCCAGTTTGGCGATGTTTGTTGTTCAAGTCGGCGAGGTTTTTTGCCCACGTTGGCAAGGTTCTCGAAGGTCGCCCCGGCGAGTTCTGACGGCTGTCTCTCTGCCTCTCTGCCTCACCTCGGCTTTGAGCTTCGCTTACCCCACCTTGCGGTTGTGACTTATCCTGGTACTCGAAGGAAGGTTTGAATCGAAGGGCAGCGTTGAGGGCGGATCTCGGATTTGCACGAAGAGCAAGGGGATAAGCGCTTGGAGCCCGAGGCGAACCCGGCACACATACAGCTGAGTTGCTGCCGTCCTCGATCTGAAAAGAGCGGACTTGAAGGGGCAGCAGTGAAACCGGGTGGGGGGGGGAACTCGCCAGAGAAGGAGCCGGGAAGGGAAGGAGCGCGGAATTGCCAGGGCTAGAGCATGCCGATAACGACGAAGCAAGCCAAATGAAGAGAGAGGCGCCCACAGGAATGTACAACGAACGTGCTGGGATGAGTACTGGGATGACTGGTTACGATAGTGCAGTGTCGTTCGACGGACGACGCGGGGAGAGGGTGCCGTCTCCCATTTCGGTCGCTGCTGTTGATTGCGGCGACGAGAAGCAGTCAGGGGGTCAATCTTTGATCCCAAAAAACTGGAATGACGTCGTGAATGAATAGGATAGTTATGGAAAGGGTTGAACACTTACCCAACACGAGGCTGGATGCCAGCGAGAGCGATGGGCGTTTCTCAAGGTCCCTGGATGCGCTCCGGCTCAGGATACACGCTACTCCCACTTGGAAGGACAAAAGCACCGGCTGACATCACCTAGCTGTCTGACTGGACTCGGGCAAGTGGGGTGCACGCTGAGAACGCGTGTTGCTGATCAGGCTGAGAGCGACCAAGGTGGAGAAGCACCGCTCCTGTAAATAAAAGCTACAAAGCTACGACGCTCTGACCAAGGGAGATGCAAACTGATAACGTGAAGTGATGACGATTGAGAAAAGGGATCTGGGGCAATGTTGTGAACTAGACCAATAGTGATGTCACCAGTACATTCTACCCGACAAGCTGTATCGTTATGATGAATGATAAGAACGTGTGAAGACTGCAAAGGGCCATCAATGAAAGCTGGATGTATGCGCCATTTCGACAGCGCTGTTGAGGAGGATTCGGCCACGAGGCGTGAGTCACGGAATGTCAGAGAAAGGAGGCAAAACTGAGTGAACAATAACCCTTTCCACAGTTCATTCACCCCTCTCTGCGCCCTCTTGCCGCAGGAAACCGACGCCCTTACTACGCCTTCCCTTTCCGACCATTCATAAACCCTAGACGAATACCCGCGCTCTTTCGTTCTCTACCACCACCTCCCCACTCCCAATAATGCTACGACGAGATTCAAAACCAACACCGGCCATACCGCCCACAATCGCTCCCTCTGACCTTGTAGGGCTCACTGGATCATACCTGCAGATGCGGAATGTACCGCAGAACGTAAAAGCCCGTATCGAACACAACATGGGTCGGGGTATCGCACAAGAGCTCAAGACGTACCATCACCCCGGCATGGCAGAGGAGCAGGGCATCCAGCAGCCTAACTCATCGACGATTGCTCTTGCACTGGAAGATCTTGTCGAGACTGGGACGGTGTCGGACGAACTGAAAGCTGCGTTCGAGGAGACCACCAGCCCGTTCTCGGGCGAGCGCTGCGGTGCTGAACCTGAAGAAGGTCTGTCCTGCTTCTCCCCTATAGACTTGTTTATTGACATATGGTCGCCGCGCTCTCCGTCGCCTGCAGACGCAGTTATCCGAGATTTTTTTGACCAGTACACGAACGAAGGCAGGTCTGATCTGATGATGTCGCCGCATGAACTGCTATACCCGTGGAACATAGGAATCACCCCCCCGTCGCACGTCCTCCCCTCCGCCCCTGCCCCTGCAGTACGCTCAGCCGCCCTTCCTCCCCCAGCACCAGCAGCGTCCTCACAGACGAGCTCCAGGCCGGGAAAAGGACGCACGCCCTCCGGCACCCACTCCGATCTTGTAAAGCAGGACCGCCCCTCTCCCTCCCCCTCCGCTTCCGCCTCTCCGATGGTCTCCACCACCCCGGTCTCCGACGGGAGGGTCTCCCGCCCCTCCCGTGGTAAACGGCGTATCGCCCTCGACGCGCCTATCCAATCCCGGACATACCACGGCGCTTCGCGCACCAGTGTGCGAACTCTCCCACGAGGATTCGAGAAGAACCTCGAGCCGGATAAGGTCGCTGGTTTCAAACGTGCGATCGAGGCTGTGGAGGAGGGGGACGATGAGGAAGATGACCGAGACCTGATCGAGAATGTCACGAGCAAGGTCATGCAGAAACGGGTGAAGAACACGCTCGCGGCACGGAAAAGCAGGGCGAGACGTGCAGAGTACCTCGAGACGCTCGAACGGCGTTTAGCCGACAAGGACGAGAGGGTACAGGAGCTCGAGAGGGTATTGATGGAGAAGGAGACGGAGATTCAGGTGCTGAAAGCTATCCTTTACGAGGATGAGAACAATGATGAAGGGGAGAGCGAGATCGACGCATAATCCCCTGATTCTCTACTTTCACCTCACCGATGCTTGGAGGTTTGTATCTTTTACCTGGATCTTTACTCTCATCAATCTCATCCCCGTGCGAGAGACGTACGTCGTAGCGTACATCTCTTGTAGCATTACTGTACTCATCTCTGTCGATCTCTCGTTCAAGACTGCCGTCGAGAAATCGAATCATTTCACACTGTGCATGCATGTGGTAAACGCTGTGTTCGGAAGGGGGAAGAATATCCGCCGTTTCTCCGGTGAGACACGGTAACTAACCTGCCGCCGATCACTTCGATCAGGTTTCAGCCGAAACATAATCGCTTACTTTTCAGTTTAACGCCCCGTTATATAACGAGCCCGTTGAGTCAGGTCAGTATCAAGGTATTACTATCAATATTCCTAGTCACACGGGCAATGTATTATGTCCTTCGTCTCCAACTCAATCAGTCCTGACTTAGAATAGCAAACCTGTCCTTTGATCGGAACCGATCAGCGACATGCGTCGCTTAGAGGTTCTATTGTTTCTATACATCTCGACGTATTATCCCTGCCATTTCGAGTCAATACCCGCGCGAGAGACAACTATTCATTGGATTCGTCCGGTCCTGATTCTGACGCTGTACAGTTGCTGCGCATCCCAGAAAACGGACTTGACGTATCTGTGCTCCTCGATCACTCGCAGGGCATGCTCTATTGCGCTCTTCTCAATGCTTTCCTGATCGGGACAGACGCACCCACGCTGACTCTTTCTTTCCCGGAGGAGATAGAGATGATGAAGGACGTCGTGTCCTTGTAGAATACCCTCTCATGGTACTAGAATGGATTGGAGCTGGTGTTAACTGTCAATTAACATATCGATCTTCACTCTTGGGCGACATCAATCTCAACGAAAGGGAATGGCATAAATATCGCGAAATCTTGACAGAATCAACCAGGACCCACAGCCCAGTCTTCCCCAAACCGGAAACCTTTTTCACGCATCAGAGCGAGCATACCACACCATGCGCATCGTATACGGTCCTATCACAGCCCTTGTCGCCGTCCTCGCAGCAGCTGGGTTCGCCGCTACCTCACCGGCAATGGGCCTGCCGCTCCCCGACGCGTGGTGCAACGGAGCGCATTGTTTTCCATACAGCTATATTGGGAATGAAGTGACAAATACAAAGCCTTGATCGGTAGCTAGGCTGATCCTCTGCCGAACACAGCAACGCCGCTAATGGTAGACTTAGGAAAGAGGAAGAGGACAATCTTGTGGTCTGATCCGACCTCGCCTCGCCCACCTAGGTGATCAGTCAGCCTCGGTCATCTGGGCCGATTCCCGTTACTTGATCTTCTGTATTCTCCAGGTGTATTTCCTCTTATTCATGTTTTTGACAAACACTTTTGAATCAGGTAAATGCGTTTTCTAACATTCTGGCGGTTTCCCCTCCTGCGAAGACCGTACATCTGCTGTACTATGATAACTGTATGGCCAACCCGCCACGGACAATTCTCCGACTGAATCCTCAATGAAATCCAGACTGCGAACTGGTGGGACGGTGACGAACGTTGTTGCTGGAAGGCGAGCACCACACAGGAACACGGACAGAAGTCAAATTCAGATAAAGCACAACATTGGGAACCTCATGTTCTAACTCAGCAGCTACAGTGAGATCGACTTACGTTCGCTGTACATAATTGTACTGAATGTCATGAACATCTATGTAAATACAAACAAAAAAGGGTAATCGACCAGAGTAAGCATTGTGCAGCCCATGAATGAATACAACGAAGTCATATGATAATCCTAAGATACTGAGAAGTGACAGAAATTTAACCCATGCATCCAGGGGCGGTTCCTTGAGGACGCATCTTGCCCTACACGTGAATTGGTGGCAAGAGTCCAGGAAGGGAGGGGGCACCGTGCGCCTTACCTTGCCAAGTGAGAGAAAATGTTTCCCTGACGAGCGAGAGCGGCCAAGCGTTATACTTCAAGTCTCGGAGAGTTTTTTGTTCGCATTCTGAGAGCTGCTGCAAGTTCAATGTGGTAATGCGCGACCATGCCTTCAGTGAAGACGACTTCTCCTCTACGAATTTGGTGGCTAGGGTGCAACATGCAATGAGTGTCGTATGACAGGATGATAGTGGAGGAGACCGAATTCCCATGGCTCTTGTATGCCTTGCCTGCTCTTGATCTTGACGAATTATAGGCTCCAAGCAAATCAGATAGACGATAGCAGCGATCAGCACTTGGTCGCTCAGCTCCGTCCGAATTAAGATATCCATGCACCACATCAAAAGTGGCTCACTAAGCAGTTCATGAGGAAGACACCGACATGTAGGATCATACCAAATTTGGGTTCCATAAGGCTGGGGATTGCCGACTTGTGTCGTTTCGGGGAGCTGTAACAGCACATCAAGCCAGGATATCAGGTCCATTCGATCCAGCAGGGGTCGAGGCAGCCGAGCAGGATTGTTGCTCAAATCTCGTTCAGTCTTCATATTTTGCAGTCTCACTCCCGGCTCGAGCCGTGGCATTGGCGCGGGGGCCAAGTGCTTCGGCTCTCTGCCCGGGAAATATAAATAGTGCGAGACATCGAGCAGTTGAACTGATCGCTAGTTTTAGCACATCCGTAGTCACAAGGTGGCGCAATGCTTACAGCGCAGCCCAAACTTCGTTCGAAGGTCTGGAAAGGGTTCACTGGGTTGTTTGAAGTGCCTCCATGTACTGGCCAGATCCCTCTCTACTCGGTGGAGGAGATTGAAGTCATATTCGACACGGTGCCATGGTATAGGGGGCACATTGCGAGGCAAACGAGGGGGCTCAGTTGGCACGTCGTGTTCAAGAGAAATTCCCGCAGCAGATGACGAAAATGATAGAGCTGATGTCTCCGACTTCCTACGCTTGTGCTCTTTTGGTGAATCTGAATTCTGGCGTTTCCGTTCGAGTGAAGGTGGGCACGATCTTGGCAGGTGTTCGGGGGCTTGGTCGTCGTCCATAGGACATTCTGAGATAAGTTTCTTCCCGAAGGGATCGTGCGAACGGAACTCCGGAACTTCAGGATTGCTTCGAGTGACAGACTTGCTCTGCACGGAACGACCAGATGATGGTGTCATGGGTTGTGATGGCGAATCAGTAGAGCCGCTTTCAGGACTCGAAACATGCCTTTGGGGAATGGGAACAGGCGCCGAAGGATGGACATGCTCATTCGAGTGCATCAGTGTTGTACTTGGGGGGAGGCGCGTTGCAGGCGAGCGAAACCCGGACGATTCGGTCGAGCTAGACCGGAGCACACCGGAGGGGACAAGGACAGGGCCAGAGAAGCGGTGGAGCTCAACTGCACGTTCGGGCTCCGAACTTGCTACGGAGTTAGGATGCAAGGTTTCATGCGCCCTTTTGACACCATGGCGGGCGGAGGAGTCGGAGAGAAGATTAGGACTGGGCGGAACGGATGATCGGTATTGTACATCGGAGTGCCATGCTGGATATCGTGGTTTGGGTATAGATTGATTCTGAGATGTTGAATCTGCTGAATGGTCTGCTAATACACTTAATGTAGGAGAAACATTCGGATATGGAAGCACGCCTGGGAGGGGAGGTACACCTGCTTCATACATAGTTGCCGATGGATCGGTGGTCTGTGATGCGACGTTGCTGTATGTTGGAGTGTGCCAAGTCAAACAAGTCAAAGGGTGGGGTAAACTTGAGGATCCAGGACGGGAGATATACTCGTGATTTCGTCTACTTGAGCGTAGGACGCATAGCGTACGGTAGGAAATACATTCGAATTGTCATCACTTGCTCCACGCATTTCAGAAGGCGAAGGCATAGGTGCGTGTTTGTTCCAGCGTCCCTTTGAATGTCTTTGGTTGAATGGGCTAGGGGTAACGACCGTAAGAATACAGTAGTATACAATGAAAAGGTAAAGATGCCGTACCGAATATCAATATGCGAGTCAATACGCAGAATTTAGCGAGTTTTACCTCAAATCCCAGGAGTCGCGAAATATGATCAAACAGCTTGTCCAGTTCGAAACCAGAGCGCTCGCCTATAAGGAAGGCCGCCGGAGCAAAGGCTGTTCAAGTCGGGTAGTCAATGTCGTGACACCCCTCCATATCATTCAGTACGACGGTCTGCGTGCCTGGCTGCGTATATGTAGTTGACCTAGGGGCTGATGAGAAGGGCTTTGAAACCAATGATCGGCGTCTGTATTACGGTGGTCCGGCTACAGATTCCTGCGCGCATACCGTAGCTTCTGTGAGGCGATGACTACGTCCGGAATAAATTAGATAGTGAACAATTAGAACTGACATAGAAATTTAGCCATATAGTCCGAAGTGGGAAGGACGAAAGCGGTGAATGGATTCAAACGTCTGTTATCACGTGCCGATCACTCGAATATATTATAATCGAAATCGTGCGAATTATCCACGGAGGTACTCTGGTATGGAAAGCCGATAGTCCGAGGTTCCAACGGGCATTGCCTCCGTTTGTACACAGCCGTGTATGGATGATGAAACAGCACCTAACCCGAATAACACTAACCTGAATATTTCATGCACCTTAACCTGAAAATTATATAACCTTAAATAATAAAAGCCTTAGTAATAGTAATAGTAATAGTAATAGTAATAGTAATAGTAATAGTAATAGTAATAGTAATAGTAATAGTAATAGTAATAGTAATAGTAATAGTAATAGTAATAGTAATAGTAATAGTAATAGTAATAGTAATAGTAATAGTAATAGTAATAGTAATAGTAATAGTAATAGTAATAGTAATAGTAATAGTAATAGTAATAGTAATAGTAATAGTAATAGTAATAGTAATAGTAATAGTAATAGTAATAGTAATGGTAACACTGAGT